CAGGGGGGGAAATTCAGGGTCTGCAGCTTTTGGGCAGGGTTGGTGCCTGTGCCCCTCACCAGAGGGGGCAGAGGGTGTACAACCACTGGGCAGTGAACAACACAAGCTCCTCATCTCATTTATTCATCTGCAGCGAGCTCTGCCTTGAGGAAGGAGGGAGAAATGCTGTTGACTCTGAAGAACAGGGATGTATTTACACAAGCCCCCAGCACCAGGCACTGCAGGTCTGTGTGCTGAGCTGGGAACAGGCTGACTGCTTTGACACAGCCCTGCTGCCCCTCACAGCCTGGGAACTGCATCCCCAGGACATCCTTGCTCCCCAGCTTGCTCCTGGGTGTCCATGAATCCTGGGCAAAGGAGCACAGACTGTCTGGGAGCCTGGAAACAGGAGACGAGCTCTGCTTCGGCAGGAAATGGTGTTCCCTGGTGCAAAGGGGAGATGCCGTCCTGCCTGCCCTGCCCCACACGGGTGGGCTGGGGGAGATAGAGCCCTGTTAACCACTTACTGCAGCCCCTTCACCTGCTCGTGCCCTCCTGCCCCCGGGTGGAGGGTCAGCCTGTGCCAGCTCTGCCGACCGCTGTCACCTGGACTCAGGGGGCCATCAGGGCTGACATTCCTTTGTTTGCTTTGCCCAGGTTTCCTCCTCTCTTCCCAACACACCTGGCTGCCTCTGCTCCCTCAGTTTGACCCCCGTGGTGAGCAGAGGTGGTCTGGGGGGCCATGGCCAGCTGGAGCCCACCGTGCCCCATGGCAGCTCTGCCACTGTGGGCAGTGATCCCGATGCCCCCGTGACAGCCCGGTTTGATCCCTCTCCATCACATCCCTGCATCCCAGAGCTGCCAACTGTTCTTCATCCGTGCTGCCGGGTGAAACAAGGCTGCTGGAACAGTTGGGAGCAGGGAAATGGAAACGATGGATTTCTGCATCCAAGAGTGGAGCAGGGGCCGCTCCGGCCGTGCCCTGCCCCTGCCTCTGCGGCTCCTCCCGCGCTCCCCGGCCCCTCCTGAGCTCTCTGTGAGCTCACGCACCAACACTTGGGCTTCCTCTCCCCAGCGGCTGCTGTGGAGGATCTCCTGCCGCCGGTGGGTGGGGAGCTGGGTCTCTCCTCACACGAGTGCAGCATCTCTCTCCCGCTGCATCCTCGCTGCACGGAGGCCGTGGAACATGGAAAACTGTGAAAGCAGAAAGGGGAAAACCAGCGCAGCTGATGTCACCCTGCTGTGGGGGAGGGGGGGGAGGCTGCCTGTCACCTCTTCTGTCCCCAGTGTCCCCATGGGACCCAGGGCAGAACCCTCTCCCCCAGTGGGTGCCCAGTGGGGCCAGTGCTGCCCCGAACCAGGATGTCCCAGACTGCAGCTCCAGCTGTGTCTCTGCCCCCAGACTCTTTGTCCCATGACCTCCAGGGCCCCCTGGGCAGCCTCTGAGAGTTGCCTGCTGTGGGCAGTGAGAAGCTCCTCTGAAGTTTGGTGGAACCAGGGTTTTCCTCCTAAGATGATCCCTATTCCTGCTCCATGGTGCCCTGTCCACATCCAAGGTCCCTGTTCCTATTCCAGTATCCCTGTTCCTGCTCCAGGACCCCTCTCCTGGCCTTGGCCCTCCTGGCATGTGGAGTGGGGGCAAGAGGACATCCACAAACGGATGTGGAGGCTGCTGAGACACCTTTATATCTAATTAGAGTCGGGCTCTTCCTCCACCTGTTTCCTGTGGTGGATTTAGGTCCCGAAGAAGAGAAAGCTGAAAAAAAGGAGCCAAATCTCTTCTCCAGCTTCTTTGAGTTCTTTAGAGGAAGCCAGTGTGGGCACCAGGGAAGCAGCATCCCCACATCAGCAGGAGGCTGGAGGCTGCAGGCGCTCGCTGTGCTCCCACACCCGCCGCTGCAGGGGTTCCTGCTCGTGTGGAGGCAGAGCTTGCCTAGGAAATGGGGAGTATTCGCCTTGGTTTGGGGGATTCTGTCTCTTTGCCGAGCTTTGGGGCTGGCTGACTCTCACCAGTGTGGGCTCACCCAGCGTGAAGCGAAGCTGAGGGGCTGGAGCTGGATCCTGCAATGGCAGCGGGTCCCTGACCTGAGCCCCTGGGGATTGTGAGCCGGGGCTGGGGGATTTCGCTGGAAAGGGCTTGTGTTACTGGTCTCTTCCCCCCGGCCCTGCAGCCTCACGCTGGGCTCTGCTCCCACATTCCCCAGCCCAGCCCTGCGGCGCTCGGCTCCTTCCCTTCCCCAGAGCAGCTCCTCGCTGCCGGGTGGGAGGATGAGGTCCCTTCCTCAGGATGTGAATCATGTCTCTCTGGGAGTCTGCTCCTGCACCCGCTGTCTCCCGCGGAGTGGGGCTGCTCTCCCGCCCCCCGCAGCGGAGGGAGGCTGCAGATCCACCGGGAAAGGCAGCCTGGATTTGACAGCTCCGTGGAGAGCCCTGCGTGGCAAGGAAGGGGGTCACCATTTGCCCACACCACCGGCTGGGTTTTGGTACCCTCCTGTATAGATGGAGGGGAAAACAGGACCAGAACCTGCACTTTTATGGAAACGGGAATGAACTGGGCTGATTTCCCCTCTGCTCCACCACTGTGCTCCCCTGAGAGTGACAGTTCAGGGTTGTTTGTGTTTGTCCCTCGTCACACCTGTGGGGACTTCACTTGCATTAATAAATATAACAGTTTCCTTAGAGGAAGAAGCTGCTGGGATGTTCATCCCAACATTTCAAAGTGCTGAGGGGATCTGGATCCTCAGTTTCCGTGAAAATTAACACGGTCATGAAAATCCTGCCTTTAATATGACATGACTCAGAGTGCACTAAGTAATGAAAAGGGTAAAATAAGGTAATATGATGTAAACTAAGCAAAGAAGAAAGCAATCCCCCGAGAGCAGGAACTGGTATCTGGCTTTTGTACTCCTTGGCCCAGCAGTGACAAAAGTTTGTGCATTATTATCATGATTATTTATACTCATAGGGGCAAACTAAAGCCATATTCTCTGGATTCCACACACAGCAGCTATGCAGGGAAATGGGAACACACAGTAAAAGAACAACAAAGGAGAAACAGGCAAAGCCCAGAGTTTACAATTAAAACGAGTAGAATTCAGCCTGGTGTGGCTACACGAGCAGTGCAGCAGCACTGAGGGTAACACACCACTCTCCTCGTGAAAGCACACGGGGCAGGAGTCCAAACGCCCCGTTATTATTTCCATTATTGCTCCGGTTCCTTTCCAGGCAGGAGAGTTGTTTCTGCTGCGCAGGTTTCTGTGTGTGAGCCTGCAGGGGACGGGGCTCCCGGGGCAGTGGGGACCCCGCAGCGGGGCTGGCACTGCGATGGGCACAGAAAGCATCCCCTGCAGCCCCCACGCTCTCGGCACGCCAGGAACCTTCCCTTCATTCCCTCCCGACACGAGCACAGCACGAGGAGGGATGCCTGCAATTTATTTCTCCTTCTTAGCAGGAAAATCAGGTGCGGGGAGCTGGTACCAGCCTGCCTGTTTCCAGCAGGGTGACATCAGCAGGACAGGTCGGCCACGTGTTATTACTGTAATGAACCATTTAAAGCAGCAACATAATAACAGCCCTGGGCCTATTTTGAGAAAGCCTCCTGGGCATTTAATTCCATGGAGGGAGAGGGGCTTTCTTCAGAGAAAGAGCACGTAGGATGGATCCCAGCAGAGCAGGGATGGTCTTGGGCCCCAAAGGGAAAGGATCACGTGGCTGCAGAGCCAGAATTAAATCCCACAAATGAGACTTTAGAAAGATCTGTTGTTCTTGGAATTATTTTTGTGGTTATGCTTCCATCGAAGATGTCTCCTGTTTTGATTTGAATTCTTATTTCCTCAGTGCTCAGACCAGGATGATGCAGCACGAGGTGGGCACAGGGAAACCTGGACGTCAGAGGAGACTGATGGATCTGATTTTCCGTGTCCGTTAGTGCCAGCAGGGAGTGAGAGAGAGATGAATGGTGGATGTGGTTGGAAAATTCCTCCATGCCAGCCAGCTGAGGTGTTTGCAGTGAGTTGGGTAAAAGAAGATCATTATTCCAACTGTAAGTTTAAAAAATCATTCTGAGGGGACCGCTGAGCTGGTCAGCTTTGTGTCCCTGTGCCCGTGTGTGAGCCCTGGGAGCGTGGCCCTGCATGGGCTGCTCATGGCCATGGTCCTGCTGCCCCAAGCCATGGTCACTCCAGTGCCCGGCCTGGCATGGAGCCAGGCCCCTCCTCTGTGTCTGAGCCCCTGCCTGGATCCCCTCCGGACTTGCTGCCCCTGCTGCTGACTCGTGTTGTGCAGAAAATCAAGGTAGAAAAAAATAATTCTGGCCTCAGCAGTGGGAGGTCTGGGACTCCTGAGGGAGTCGGGGAACACCTGCAATTGTCACTGCCAGCCCTGCCGTGGGTACTGGGGTGGGTACCTGCGGTGGGTGTCGGGCAGGTGCCACCACAACTGGCACGAAGTCGGGACTTCCCTGGCTTTATTGTTGTTTTTGCTGCTGTTGTTACCGTCGTTATTACCGCCATTGTTATTGCGTGTCTGTCTCCCACTGACTCCTGTGGGCTCCGGCGCTGTCTGCACGGGCAGCGGGAGCTCACGGTGTCCCTGCCCGGCCGGGCTGGGGCCGTGGTCCCGCCGCGGTCCCCGCGGGGCCGGGGCAGCATCATCGCGGGGATGCAGATGCTGTATGCAAATGAGACGGCGGGCTAGGCCCCGCCCACTGCGCCCCGCGGGGGGCGCTATTCAAATGACATGCAAAGCACGTGGGGCGGGGCCACGGCCGGGCGGGGGGCGGGGCTTGTCATGTAGAAACCGTTAAGGGGCGTGGCCTGGGATGCAGATGAGGGGCGGGGCGGGCGCCGTATGTAGATGAGGGGGCGGGGCCGCCCGGGCGGGTGTCGGAGCCTCCCGCCGGCTGCGGGAGCGGCACCGAGCGGCAGCGGGCCCGGCGGGCACCGAGCCCCGCACAGCCCAACCGAGCCGAGCCGGGCCGAGCCGAGCCGAGCCGGGCCGGCGGCCGGCAGCCCCCGCACAGCATGGCCGAGCCGCCGGCAGCGCCGGCCCCCGAGGGCGAGGAGGGCCCGGTGCGCTTCGCCCGCAAGGGCGCCCTGCGGCAGAAGAACGTGCACGAGGTGAAGAACCACAAGTTCACGGCGCGGTTCTTCAAGCAGCCCACCTTCTGCAGCCACTGCACCGACTTCATCTGGTGAGCCCCCCCCGCCAGGACCTCCCCGCACCCCCCCTCCGGGACCCCCATCCCGCTCCGGGACGCCCGTCCCCGTCCTCGCCCAGCCCGCTGGAGCTCATCCTCGCCCGCCTCCGGGCACCCCTTCCGCTCCCGTCCCGTGTCCCCTCATCCCCCCGCATCCCATCCCGGTCCCGCCCGGTCCCTGCTCCCGCCGGCCGCTCCGGGCAGGGCGGTTGCGGTGCCGGTGTCTCACTCCGCCTCTCTCTCCGCAGGGGCTTCGGCAAGCAGGGCTTCCAGTGTCAAGGTGAGTGTCGCCGTGCCGGGGGGGCTGGGGGGATCCGCACACCGTGTCCGTCCCCCGGGACCGGCCCTGAATATCCCCGCGGAACCCGAGCAGCATCCCCGCGGCACCGTCCCCGAGCATCCCCGCGGAGCTGGGGAAGCAGCTTAGTCATTTTTTTAATCAACCGAGCAACTGGTCGCTGCCTTTAAGCCGGTCGGGTTTCGTTTCCAGAGATAAGCGCCCAGGACTTCAGCGAAATCCCCCGAAAAAGGCAGAGAGGACTTGGTTTTTAATGAACTTAACAGGAAAACATGTGTTTGGCTGGCAAACGGGCTGGGTGAGGGCTCCTCTAGGGCTGGAATTGCGCAGCCTGCAAGGACTTGAATGGCTTAGTTGTGTTGCTGGGGAAAGAAATGAGGCTTTACAACAAAATATGATGCAGTAGCTGGGTTACTACGACCAGAATTCTTTGTTCTGATAATGCTGGGATTCTGGAGGGGCTCTTTAGGGATTGGTGATGTTCTCTCGGGAAATTCGGATGAATTACCCAGGCGGTATCTGGTTGCTCTCGTTGCCAGCCCAGCTGTGGGCTGTTCCTGCCTGCAGCTCATCCTGCCCTGTGGGTGCCACCTGTGTGGGGTCCAGGTCTGGCTGTAGGGTTCAGATGGGGCTGGTGCTTACAGCTGCTGGCAGTGAAATTTTGCTCTTGTGAATATTTGGGACAGAGTTTTATTTTGGTGGGTGGCTGAATCCCAGGTGGAGGTATTTAGCATGAAAACAAACTGGCTGTAGAGCACTAATATCTCCAGAACTGCTCCTCCTGGCAGCTGTCTGGGTTGTGGTGTGGCACAGAGCCCAGGCTCGGGGTGCTGGGGTGGGTCTGGATCTCGAGGGCAGCTGTACCTGCAGGCAGGAGGGCTCTGTCTTGGGTGCTCTCAGGAGCATCTCTGCAGATGCTTGTACAAGCAGTGTAAGTCTAATCCAATTTAAATGATACTGGTACTCATCCTTAACACTTACCCTAGGAGTATAACCTTAAAATACCAAAACCATCTCTCTGCTGCCTCCCAAACCCCCACCCGAAGGCCTGGGCAGGTGTTGGCAAGCAGTGGAAAGCAGATATGGAGACTAAAACATGTCCTAGGGCTGTTTCTCAAGGTCACAGCTTCCCCTGGTACCTGAGGTTTCACACATGGGCAGTTCAGTCATGTTACTCAGAAGAGTTTTGTGCAGCTTGTATCTCTGTTGTGGCTCTTCCCAGCCTTACCTGGCTGTTCATTCCCTGGCTTTCCTTACAGTGCAGGCTTATTTGTGCAAACACAATGTCCCTGAAATTTGGAGTGTGCTGGAGGGGACCATGTGTTAGCAGGGCAGGGTTTTCCTGCATTATTTCTAGAGCTTTGCTCAGTTCTACCTATAACATCCAGGGCTGGATAGCTGGAGCCTTTCCAAGTCTCATCCAGCTGTCAGGAACTATTATCCAAACCTGGAGCTGTGCTCTTGCTTCAAGGTTTATCCTTACATGTTTGTAACCAGTATCAAATCAGTCCTCAGTGCAAGGCCAGTGGGTGGGTCCATGAAGGTGGTCTCAGAGTTGCCAATGTGCAGGTGAAGGGTCTTCCCCCCACTAGTAGATGTCGGGCAGAGCAGTCCTGTCCCTGGGTCGTGGGGCAGGAGCCCTTGTGAGGCTGCAGTGACACCACCAGCATTTGCAGGAGTGCTCAGTGATGTCTCCAGGGGTGTGTGGCTGGTCTGTGACATCCCCTTCTGCCTTAAGAAACCACTTTCCAGGTTGTTCTGGTATTACAGACGTGAAAACCTCCTTACTGTGCAATAGGAGATTTTGCAGATTTGGGTCTGTAGAACAGCCCAGTCCTTCTTTTCCTACAATCTGTGGATTTTCAGACATCCTTTCTGCAAGGTGCTGAGGTGCCCAGGAGAAAGTGCTCCCGTTGGTGGGGCAGCTGTGGGGGTGATGCCCATCTCAGTGGGGGCACGGAGCAGCTGGTGCCCCTTGGTAGAGGACACACTGTGTCTCCCTGCAGAGCACTGCTGGGTTTGGAAGTCAGACATGAGGAGAAGTCGCTCCCTCCTGCCATCTGCTCTGGGATCGGGATCACAGCCACCCCGGGGGGCAGCACTTGGGGTGCCAGGGTTGGCATGGTGCCAGGGGGTCAGGCTGTTCCACCAGAGCCCTGGGTGCACTGGGTCATGTGGGTACCACCAGCTTTGGGGTTGTGCCCCACAGGCTGTGCTGCAGCTGCTGTTGGACTCGGTAAATGCTGACGTGGAAGCAGAAAACCCCCAGGCTGGCTTTTGTTTAGGGGTTCTTCAGCCCCACAGGGCTGGCAGTAAGCTCTGATGTTGGGGTCTAGCTCCCCCTTTACTGAATGCAGCTTTAATTCAACTTTTTCACAACTTCCCTGAGTATTTTACCCTGTTGTTCCGTGGGATGGCTGGAAATGCAGCTGAGGCACATGCCTGTCTGGGTTCTCAGCTGTTCCTGCTGCTGTGCTCACTCTAAGTAGGTTTTCACCTGTGCCCTGATTTCTTTCTAGGACATTTGCAATAATTAGATTGTTAATTAGCTCATTACTTGTGACTTTTGGCAGGAAGTTAGCAGAAACTGACTCTTTGTATCTTGAAATACTAATGGATACCACAAATGCCACTTAATTGCCTGCTAATCTGCTTCTTATCCTTGTATGCAATCCCCTCCTTATCCTCGTGTGCATCTGAAGACTTCCTGGGCCAACTTCTCTCTCCCAAGCCAGAAAGCCTTTCAGTGTGGGCAGGAGAGGTCTGTGCACAGGCAGCCCAGGAACAGGGCTGGTGCTGCAGGTTAAGAAAAAATATCAATACACTGTGGGCATTGGAAGGCTGGAGTGCTGAGGATGTGCCTGGAGCTGCCTGGAAGATGAGCTCCATGTGCCCTGGCTGCCTGTCAGCCCGTGGCACAAAGGGGCTTTCTGGCCCTGCTGTAAGGACCTGCTGTAGCTGGAAGGTGTATGAACTCATCAGTAACAAAGAGAAGGGGGTGTACGTGTTCTGCCCTTCCTGGGCTTTGGGATCCATCTGCCCAGTTCCATTACCAGGGAATGCATGAAGAGGGAGAGAGCAGCCCCTCGGATCTGCAGGCTGGGGATGTCCTGGGGAGGGAACGTGTGGCCAGTCCTAGCTGGTGGCTTTCTGTCTCTGTTCTCCTGATGCAGGAAGTGCTGTGAGGATGGTAAAGGAAAGGGAACTGGCTTGAGAGCTGCCAAGTGAGGTTCTTGCTCTCGTTCTCGGAATGTGCTGCTCCTGGGAACTTCTCTTTGTCTTTCCTGCTCGTGTTCCCCCCTTGGCATCCTCAGGGTCCGTTTCTCCTGTTGTCCAAGCAGCTCTTGGTCCCTCTGTGGATCAGGGTACTGGCTGTGCTGGAGATTTGGCGAGGGGGGTGGGTCCCCAAGAGCTGTTTGCTCGAGCTGGAGTCTCTGTGGCAGCGGCTGGGCTGGGCTGGGCTCTCACCCCGGGGGCCTGGGCAGAGGTGTCCCTGCAGAGGTGAGGAGCCATGTAACGTGATTCACACTTGGGAGCAAAAAATAACCTGCATCTGTTACAGCCTTCACGTGTACAAAGTAGAAAAGATCTTGGAAAGGAAAATCTTGTTTCCTTAAGAGAAGGGGGGGGAGAAAGCATCATTTGGTAATGGGTGCTTGGATTTCATGCAGTGACTTTTCTGGGGAGACTCTGTACTTCTTGTCCCTGGTTATGACTCGGTAAGCAAAGACACTCTTCAGATTAAATCTTCCTAAACTTCATACCAAATAGAATTCCTCCCTCCAGCTTTTCCTCTCCCCGTCCTCCAAGGCCAGCGCCCTCGTCTTGTTTTGTGCTTTCACGATTCAACGTCTGAGACCAAAACTGAGCAGCTGGAGAATGTCACCCAGGCCTTACCTTTCCAGCGAGTGTTTCTCTCTTGCTCTCAGCCTTCACAACCCACCCTTCCTCCCCCCTCTCTGCCCTCCAGACGGAAGTGAAACCCATCACACTTCGCTCTGTGCTGCGGGCTGGGCTCCTCACCGTGCACTGCCTGCTCTTATTGACTGCATTAAGCAAGTAAGAAACAAAAGCAAAACAAACTCCAATCATTCAGAGTTGCCTCAAACCCAGTAATTTCGTGTCAACATATTATGCGCACTGGAGAAATGTTAGTGTTCAAATAGACTAATTAAAAATGTTACTGCAATTACTTTTGCAACACAAATGATGCTAATTATATAATGCTGCAGAAATTGGAAACATGATTTGGTAGGGTTTTTTTGTGTGCCTCGTGGTGATAAGGCAGTTCTTGGTGCTGGAGCCCCGGGGCAGTGGGAGCCCCATCCTCAGTGTCGGGAGCAGGTACAAATAGAAAGGGGAAGTGGGTCTGGGCCCTGTGCTGCACAGATGGTCTGTGTCCTGCACAACGGAGTGCAAACAGAGCTGACAGGGAAAATGGGAAGATGTGCCCCTTCCCAGGCTGGTTTTAAAGCCTGTCACCTGAGCTGGCTTCCCTAATCCTGCTCTTTCCTGCGCTGGATACCTGCGGCTCAGGGGAGGGGCTGGAGGTGGAGATCTGTTTTGGAAGGAGATTTTTGGAGGCAATCTGGACCTGCTGAGGCCACAGCTGTTGGGGTCAGCAAGGACCACTCTGTGTGCAGGCCCATCAGTGTCCCCTTGCAGTGCAGAAGGGCTCACTTGAGTCTCTCAGTGGAAGTGGTTTCTCTTTCCCTCCCCCTCTGCTGTTAGCAGGGTAGATTTTTCTTTCTTATCTCCAGAGATAGCTGTCATCCTCCAGTGATCTGGGGCTCAGATAATGGGGTGGACTCTTTCCTCCCCGGGGTGTTCGTTGCTGACCCGTGGCAGCAGTGGCAAGCTGGGCAGAGGGGCTCAGAGCTTGCCTGAGGGTTTGGGTGCCTTGGGGGTGGCAGGAGGGTTTGCAGCACATCTACCCGGTGCCTGTGAGCTCTGACTCCACTGCACAGGTTGGACCACCCCGG